GGAGGAGCAAAGATGCTGCCGTCGCCGGCCACGATGGCACAGCAGTACTTGCCTAAGAATCACGAGGATCGCAACTTTTGCAATGCCTTTCCTCTCGCATTCTGCTGCGAAGTCTTGGGTTCGGTACCAGGCGTGGCTCCTAAGTCTGGTCCGACCTGGCCGTCTTCCTATCCATGCGGAAACTGTTTCAAGCCACAAGGCTCGTTAAATCCACTGCTGCGGTGGTTCAGGGTCGGACAGGGCTGGGTCTGGCATGCAGGGTTGAGGAATGGTGCTTCAGTAAGTGCGTGGTAGTGCAGCTTGGGCAAAAGCCTGTCGCCTCGGCCTCCGGACGGCCCCTTCCCAGGCCCCCCTCCGCCCCGCCCACCGCCCTCGAGAGCTGGCTGCACAATTTCGTCTGGGGGTGCCAGGAATGACAGCAAAACCGTGGCAGAAACAGTCAGGCAATGTGTTTTCTGGGCACTTGCAAAGATTAGGTTGGTGGAAGGTCCCCAGCGGTGGTTTTTGGGCCGGCCGGACTGCTGAGGCGGCGAGTGGAAACGATTCTTCAGCTGAGGCTACGAGCGGTGTCATGAGGGCTCTCATCAAGGGACGGACACTTTTCCCGAACCCCCCTCGTTGTTATTTTTACAGCCCACATGCATGACAACCAGTACAATAACATCGATGGCCGATCTTTGCCACGCCGGCCTTCCGAGTGGCGCCGCCGCGTACAGGGTCGATCTCCATCACCTCAGAGGCCGAAATCGCATGGCACGAGAAAAATCGGCGAGAGCTGCCTCTGCTGTGAATGCGGCATGCCGGGCATCCCATGGAATCGCGTAGATCTTGAGGGTCTTGGCAAGCTTGGCTGTCGTCTAAGCTGAAAGTTTAAAGCTGACCAAAGAGGCTGCCAAGGCATTGGCGACTGGAGAAGCGATTGTAACCCACCACTCCCCCTGTGGCCATTCAAGGGTGCTTCCAAGGTGGGTATGCTGGATGAAGCTTCCTGTTTAAGGTGGTTATCTGAAGTCGGGCGCCTGGTCAGACTTTCCGAGGCGTGGGCCGACTTCATTCACGGAACCTTCTGCATCAGTGACTCTGAGCAAGGTTGCCGGAGACATCCCGCAGCTAAAAGTTCGCTACTGTGGGCGTCAGAGGTTCACATAGGGACTGCTCCACCTCTGAACCCCTGAGTCCACTTTGCGAATCCCACCACAGGACCCGCTCCCTCCCCTGCACAGCCGTGGGGGGACCCCTTCAGGAACTTCCTCAAGACCATGGAGCCACCGAACGAGCCACGTTCGTTTCGGCTGCTGCACGCTACTCAGCTTCCTGCTTCAGACTTGACAGCCGGGCCGAGGCGGTCGACGTGTCTCTGAACAAACCTCGTGTGGATGTGGCCTGTGTAGGGATCAATCTCAAGGACCTTAGGCACCAAACCGGACAGTGCACACACAACCTGCTGCGTGCTGCAGTAGACCATGTTCTTCTTGTTTTGGTACTCGACAGCATCCCTGGATGAAGCCCAGCCGGCACACGCCACCTCTGAATCCTTGACGCAGCTACATAATGCAACTGGCTTGAGGCTTGTACGCGTTGGGCAAGGAACGGTGCAGCGTATATTCTGCCGTTCCAGTCGTATGAGCTGGCCTCAAGCACTCTTGCTTTCCATCTCTTGTCTTCTGTGCAACGCAGACATAAATGAGAGCTGCACGGCCGTTGCATATTTGGTCACCAATTCCGGACTGATCTTGTTGCCGACCTGTGCTTTTGGAAGTTTGGAAGAGCGTTCAACCTTCTCTTGGTCTGCACGCACGGTTTACATTCGCAGCAGCACATGCTCTCGGCAAGCGCCTCTGTGATTGTGTCCTCGTCAATGTTCACAAGCAGTACGTGAGCAGCATCATAGGGGACCTTTCGATGAGCACTCGAAGATTTCACACGGAAGAGCCTCAGCCTTTTGATGTCAACTTTTGACATGGAAAATAAGAACCATGTCGAAGAGACATCTTGTTGGGCACATGCTCAATCATCTTGGGCAAGTGCGCAGAAGAATTCTCCTTCTGTCACTAGCGACCTGCAGATGCTGATGTACTTGCAGCCCGCCTGTCCAGGAAGAATAAAGAAATCAAGGTGTCTCGTCTCAAACAAAGGCAAAGACGAGTCCCGGAAACAAAGTGAAGGAAAGTGACGGTAAGTACAAGTCAGTACCAGCCACTTCTCGACTGGCCTTTCCAAAGTTTGGTCCAACCCAATCCCAGCGGACTTGGCGGCTGCCCTCGCGAACCTTTGGAACATGGCTGCAGATGCTCCGCAAGGACTCCAATGCGGACAGGATGGCCGGTTCCTGCCTGGACTTCGACGCACTGCTCCGCATTTCGAGGAATGCAGTAGAGCCTGATGAACCAGTGCGCTACCATGCAGAGCTCTGATCATTGCACAGCAACTTGCAGCAATTGATGCAAATCCGCCGTCTGTGTGCCAGACTTGCAAATGGCACCAGCACCTGCAGACTTGTCCAGTCGCAACATACTTTTGACAGTTGTCACGTCCCAATGCCTGCGTCCAGCTGTTCTTCGCGGGCTGGCAGGGAGCGATCAAGGGTATTTACAAGCACGCGGGAAGGGTGAAGGCACGCACATGCAGCAGGACTCGAGACATCTCGGCAGGCCTGCCAACTGATCTTTGACTGCTTGATGCTCCGCATACTTCTTGGGGAGAAGCTGGGCCTTACGTGCCACGCCGACAAGGTGAGTTGGCGAGTTTCTGCCATCTCTTCCGCGCCTCCTGCTCCTCCTCTTCCATGAGGAAAACACCGAGGCCTTGGGTCCAGGGTGGTTAAGGGGGGTTTCTTGGGTAGACTTAGGGGGGATTTTCTGACATGCAGCCAAGCCTGCACAGGGCTGGACTTTCTACAGCTCCCCATCGGCAGTGACCAGAGGCATCCCGCAGGTCACATCTTGGCTGACTGTATGCGATTTGATCCGGTTGAGTCTCTCTGGCTTGGCTCTGGTTGTGCTGCCTGGTTGTGCTCTGTGGATTGGCTCCTGAACCCTTGAGACCTCAGGCATCATGGCCACCTATGGCCACATGGAGTCAGGGATATTGGCAGAAGGAGATCGAAAGAAGTGCGTGTGAGCTGATGGAGCAGCCCGTGTCGCGCAGCGAAGCTGCAAAGCTGTTTACCCAGCAGCAGCGCTCCCAGCAGCTTCGGGAACTGTGGCAATGTAAGCCCAGTCTCGCAACACTAGTTTAGTGGCTTGTCGCGCTCAAAGGGTAGCAAGTTTAGCGGAATACAGTATCGACTCAACAATCGGAGAATCTGGGAAGCGCGTCCAGTCTGCAAAGACGCTCCAACGGTGAGAATCTGCAAATTATGAAAGGATTTGCAAGGAAAACTGCTGTCCCAGCAGGGTCTTCTGACATGTGCCATCTTGTGCCAAAGAGTCAACTGCTTTGCGCCAAGGCTTGAAACTCTTACCAGTAATGGCTGCACTCTTTGGCAAGTCAGGCTTCAAAGCATGTTCGCTTTCGGACATGGAAAACAGTTGTATCAAGCCTTACGCTTGTCACATTGTCTGCCAAGGCTTCGCAGATCAGTTTATGCATTCACTTGTTGGAACCACGGGCGAAGGAGAGGTATGCTGTCCACACGAATGAGACCACCTCGGTCTCTGCTGATGCCATGGCCGTTTCTCGATACACTCGAGCGATGTCATTGTGATGACACTGATGAACACTTCTAACTGGGATCCCAGGGACATGCCGCACCGGCAGCCGTAACCACAAAGGCACGGAGAAGCAGACGATATCTGCAGGACCCCAAACGCGAAAGACGTCGAAGACATCCTGCGCCAGAAGTCAACGTCAAGCGCTTCTAGAAGTGTTGAATGGCGCACGAAACATGTGTCCTTGTTCCAGTTTTTGGTGTAGCTTCCTGAGAGTCTTGAATATGAAGTGCCGGCCCCACCATGCCACGCAGCATCTTCAAGCTCCAAAGACTCTCTTCATTCCAAGGTTCCGATACCACCCTTCACCCACTCACTGGCATCCCAAACGCTGCTGAAGACCCCAGCTTTGAACACGTAGAAGGTGGGCAGGTATACGAATGTCCTTGGGCAGACACGTTTGCGCAGCTGTTCACAAAAGCCCACCCTCACCGGCCATCAACTTGTTTAGGTGTGGCCGAAATGGCCGAAGTATGACAACACCACCCAGATGTACATCCTACTATATCCTGAACCGTGTACCCAGCATTTTCCATTCAAATATCGTCGCCGCATGGCCGTATGTCTGACGCCACATTGACCCAAGCAGAAAAAAACAGCTTCTAAACCAGTGGACAAGTGCTCTCTTTCTGTCCCAACCTGCCACATGAGAATCACTACACCCCAAAGCCTCAAACCCTAAACCCTAAACCCTTTAAACCCTTTAAGGCCAAAGCACAGCATCCCGAGGTCCAGGGCGGTCTGCGCGCCAAGGGCCAGGAGCCCCGGGCCGTCACGGAGCTTCGCCATCACGGGCTGTTGGGTGAACTTCTCCTCTCTGGATTTTAGTGGCTTGTTAAACACTTCTTAAACACTCTTTACGGGCTTTAGAGAGTAGCTCTAGGCCTGGCTCAAGAAAAGAGAGACAGTGATCTTTTCTGATGCGCTAGTATTAAGCTGGCCGTAGAAAAGAAGCCTCAGCACGGCTGACACAGCCAAGCGGCAACCCCGGTGAACATGCGCTTGAAAATGTTGACCTGTTGCTTTTAAGAAAACATGAGGCTGGTGTGTCAGCTGGTCACCATTGCTCACCGAGGCATGCCTGAGCATTACTCAAGTGATGGCAACTATAGCGTATCATTCAGTACACACATGCTGAAGCTCAGCTGTGCACCTGATACCAATACCTTGGCCATCGCTTCGAGGAATCTACATTCCAACAAACTGTATCAGCATGCCACAAGGCAGTCTTTGTGCAAGGCAGGCGTCTGGAAAGCCCCCAAGTACACGGCCCCGAACAAACAGAAGACCTCGCTTGCAGTGTTGCAGCAGTTTCCGAGGACAGAGCAGGCTTAGAGCATGCCCCAGATTGCACAAGTTGTTTCCCAAACACATCCCTCAAGGAGGGGGAACTTCTGAAGGGTTCTGGCATCCGGAGGTCCCTGATGTACGCTGCACACGTTCGTTGCACGATGGCACGGGACGGGGCAGCTCGGCAAAGAATGACAAAGGGTGAGCCAACTGTGCTTTTGAGGCTGAGCTGCAAGATTTCGCTTCCAGTCGACTTCATACACAGGCTTCTGCTCGATCACACACTGGGCCACCAAATCTGCTGCGGAAGTCTTCATCGTGGCAATAATTAGGTTGTTCCTGAGTCGAGCCCGACTTTGTTGCAGAAGCGCGCAGTGGATGTGCGGCACTTTTGCTTGCTGGCAAGCTGCGTGAAGGGAAAAGACTTTGCAAATGCAACATAGGACCAGCGTGCCTCTCCTGCCTGCAGACTGACAGGACATGATGGAAAGGCGGGAATGCCAGCAGAATACCCAAGAAGAGGAGAACAGTCTCCTCCGCCGCGGCTGCGGCTTTGTAGCGCAAGGTCTTGCAGCTTTGTCCGCAGCCACTCCACTGTAGGCCTTGGAGACTATGTATGGGGAAGGAAATGGCTGCGGCCCGACATCGGAGATAGCAGCATCACACGCATGTTTTGTGCACTAGATCATGTGAGTCAGTGCCAAATGACACATGACATGACTTCTGCAGCACCAGTAGACTGTCGGGTTGCGGTTCACATTTCCGAGGCTAAAGGTCGGCCGCGGAAGAGACCGTCGTGCGAGCAGGCGCGCTGCCTGCCTCGGCAACATGCTCCAACGATGGCGAAAAGAGGGCAAAACGCGTGGGCTTGGGATTTGAGGGATTTAAGAATGCTTAAGACACATGTTCAGGCACTTGCACAAGACAACTGACGACTGCTTCTTTCAATTTGCGCCTGAGTGTCTGGCATAACTCAAAGGCACGGGAGGAAAACTTAAAATTCAACTCCCTCTTCGAGCCAAGCTTTGGGGCATCCTTCTTTGGACAGCACAACAGACTCTTGAGCAGAGCCCTCGGTTCACCGGAACGTCACATCCAACATTGACGTGATGTCAGATTTGACCACGACTCGTCACCATAACCGGATCTTATGTTGGAGTTCCTTCTCCCATCATACAGCTGCCAGGTGTAGGATGATCTGGAGTGCCCATCCCCGATCCTCAAAGTCGTCCCTGAGCCCTGGTGTTCCTACGTCAACCCTGCGGGAGGTCCCAAGTGCCCCAAAAATCTCAAGCGACCCAAGTGCCGCTTTCAGCGCGCTTGTCATGGACGCAGCTCCTTCCTTTACAACCCTTATGGAGACAAGATTACGTTACCAGCACAGGTTTTTGGGTGACGCTTTTCAAGTAAACTGAGATGTTTATCCCTTTGTGGGAAAAGCGTGTTGTAGGAGCATATTCACAACCCTTCTGGAGCCACGATTACGTTACCAGCACAGGTTTTGGGTGACGCCATAGGGCTCTTTAAAATCTTGCAAGCAGTCATAGCTGCCATGCCTGCGAGCGGGAAAAGCCGTTACCGAAAACAGTCCCTGGAATTTGCCAGGACTGCGGGCAAGCGAAGCAGATACCGAAAACAGTCCCGGGAATTTACCGAAAACAGTCCCTGGAATTTAAACCCTAAGGATTAGGGTTTAGGTACATACCCCAAAAAAGTTGCTAACTTTTGGGTGGCCTGAAGTTAGGGTTTATAGAAATTGGGTTTTGGTGAGGCCCCTACAGGTCTGTCGCACGTCCCCTTTAATTTCGCTTCAATTTCGATGGTTTAATTCCGTCTTCATTTCGTTTCAATTTCATTCCGTCTTAATTTCGTTTCGAGCCTGCAGCCCATGTTTTGGCGCGAGCTATTTGGTCAGAGTCGTAAACCCTAAACCCTAAACCCGTGCCAAGAACCTGGGGCCCTGAAGGTTTGTCGGATGTCCCCTCCCTTGGTGCTTGTAGGGCTTGGTGAGGCTACAGGTTTGTCGCACGTCCCCTTAAGTATTTCAATTTCGATGGTTTAACTCCGTCTTAATTTCGTTTCAATTTCGATGGTTCAATTCCGTCTTACTTTCGTTTCCAGATTCGGGCCACAGGGCCATAGAACGTTTTCGCACAGCAAGCAGACCTGGGAAAACCCTAAACATGAAACCCAGATTCGGGCCATTGGGCCATAGAACGATTTCGCAGAGCAAGCAGACCTGGGAAAACCTTAAACTTGAAACCCAGATTCGGGCCATAGGGCCATAGAACGTTTTCGCAGAGCAAGCAGACCTGGGAAAACCTTCGGTCAGCCGCTCTGACCAAATAGCTCGCGCTAAGTAAAATGAAATGTTTATCCTTTCGTGGGACTCATATTTTTGACACAATGGACTCCAAAGCAAATTCCTAAGTAGATTGTGCCTTCTTTTTGCGCGAAAGACCGTGTCAAAACAAGTGATTAGTCCCACAAAGGGATAAACATCTCAATTTACTTAAACCACCATCTTTTGCGCGAGAAGACCGTGTCAAAAATATCGGACGCCCCGGACTCCACTCTTTGCATCCTGGAACCCATGGATCAGGGGGTGTAGGGGGGCCCACGTGCCATGGCGCGAGCTACTTGGTCAGCTGCTCTGACCAATTGCTCGCGCTAAGTAAATTCAGATGTTTATCCCTTCGTGGGACTCATCTTCTTGTGACCAAATAGCTCGCGCTACCCGAAACCCTAAACCCAAAGGATTAGGGTTTACGGCCCGGATCCTCTTAGCCAAACTGAAAATGAACGGCTACTTCACTACTTGAAAACGATTGAAAAGGCAGAAGGAGAATTCGGATGGCGCCGGCCCGGACCGTCTTAGACAAACTGAAAACGAACGAGGAGGCAGAAGGTGAATTCGGATGGCTCCGGCCCGGACCCTCTTAGACAAACTGAAAATGAACGGCTGCTTCACTACTTGAAAACGATTGAAAAGGCAGAAGGAGAATTCGGATGGCTCCGGCCCGTCTTAGACAAACTGAAAACGAACGAGGAGGCAGAAGGTGAATTCGGATGGCTCCGGCCCGGACCCTCTTAGACAGACTGAAAATGAACGGCTACTTCACTACTTGAAAACGATTGAAAAAAGGCAGAAGGAGAATTCGGATGGCTCCGGCCCTGACTGACCGTCGTTTACAAACTGAAAACGAACGAGGAGGCAGAAGGAGAATTCGGATGGCTCCGGCCCGGACCGTCTTAGACAAACTGAAAACGAACGAGGAGGCAGAAGGAGAATTCGGATGGCTCCGGCCCGGGCCCTCTTAAACAAACTAAAAATAAACGGCTACTTCACTACTTGAAAACGATTGAAAAGACAGAAGGAGAATTCGGATGGCTTTCCGGATTTCTGGGATCTTTATTGGAGCCTGGGCCTTTTTGGTGCCGTTTTGGGCCCCTTGGGCACCCCCCGCAGCCGCCGAGGGGCTCCAGGGTCCTCTTTGGGCACTTTTTTGGCTCCCAGTACGGGCGAGAGAATTGGGGGCTTTCTAGGGGGCTTTTCTATCTCTTGAAGCTGGGTCAAAAGGAGCAGCAGTTCGTCTCTTCAAGGTCGCATTTCAGGTGGTCTGTTGTGTTTTTTGTGTGCGTTCGGCCAGAGATTTGTGTGCATGTGCCACTGGCCATAAGATGTTGACTGTCTTAAACCTCCTCATGCCTCACCGGTAGCACGCCGCTTCTGCGCAACGGCAAGCGGCCACAACACGGGACCAAATGGACATGAGGTTCCTTCTCCCACAGTAACGCATGCAGAAGTCGCCAGTACCGATCAGCGGTCAAAATAGTCAAGGAAGTGTCGGTTCGAGTGCGCCGAGTGTATTGGCAACGTCCATGACAAGTAGCTAGGTATGCCAAGCCATGTCGAACATTAGCAATTACTAGTGGTGGCTACACATCTCCCAGCCATTCCCAGCCTGTACTCACACGCAGCTGCAGCAACATGAATTCGCGGCTGCATCGTCGAAACTACGTGAAAGATTCATGTCGGCCCCAGTAGGAAACGGATCCATTTTCCAAGACATTTCAGCCATGCTCCGAACGGTCGCGGTTTGGGTCCATTGCACGGGGCCTTGGACATCATGCCCACATCCTGAAAAGTTGTCCCAGAAACATTTGCATGGAGCAGCAGCGGCATGAAGCCCGCATCCTTCCCTGCCTTGCAACCCTTAACTGCAATTTGGATGCTAAGATTCAGCTTTGAGAGTTTTGGGCTGCACTCCTTGAAACGAATCTTGCAGGTTACGACTCTTTGCGCGATGTTGCTTCTCCAGCGTAAGATTGGTGAATGAGCCTAGGGAGATACTCGTAATTCGTTTTTGCACTTCTATACATAGGAACTTCAAGGCAGGTTTCGCAGAGGATGGTCTTGCTTTGCCCGTACCGCTGTTCATAATGCCCCAGTACTCTTGTCAGGAGCTGACGGTGGAGTCAGTGGAGGACCAGGAGAGTCCCTGGGTTCCCGGTTGAATACTTTGTAAGACTTTCGCTTCCCTGAGGTGAAGGCAGAGTCACAGAAAGTTCGTGGCTAAAGTTCCTGACCACCGGTCTGTAGGACTGTAGGCCCTGTAGGCTCGGAACTCGTGGAACTCTCGACTTCAGACCGCCTTCTCAGCTTCAGTCGAAGCTCCAAATGTCAAAGGAGCATGAGCACAACATTTCCTTCAAGTCAACGCCGTATGAACCATCATAACGCCTTAGAGTCTTAGAGGAATTTGCAATATTCTTGGTTTCAGGATTTGGAGTTTGGGGTTCGGGCTTCAGGAATTGGGGTCTTCCGGGCTTTAGAGGGGAGGCATCCTGAACGCCCTTCCCGTGACCAAGCGGAAAGTCCAACAGTGATCATTACAGCTGCAATGCCGCGCTCGAAGATGCTGTGGGAAAGCTCGAAACCCCACTGCCCCACTGTATGCCACTGTAAACCGTGAAGTGCAAATGTGAAGGAACTTAGGTAGCAGCACCACAATGCACCACCCCACGTTCCATCACGGGCCCCAGGTTTAAGGTGAAAGCTGGTAGCGTTGGCTGGACCGGGCTTAGACGGTTTGGCCGGCCACTTGAGGGCGTGCTCTGTGCCAGGCCAGAATCGACAACAACGCGCTGACCCCGCCGCATGAGCAGGCCAGATTATCCTCCTTCTCCACACGCATTTGGTGCATCGACGTAGGTCTTCAAAGACCTGCCGTCTGTTACCGGAGCCCGGAGCCGTAAGCTCCCTCTTCAAACTCAGCAGGTGGTGGTGGTGGTGTAGGAGAGTTGAGCCGTCTCT